GAGAGAGAGAGGGAGAGAGATATAGGACGCGACGGGCGCAGCAGCAGCATGGCTTGCAGGACTAACCGCAGTGCTTTAATACCGCTGGTACTTTTGCTTTCAGCCATCTTTCAGGGAAAGAGTTCCTTTTTAACAGGATTCGGACTTGGTTTTCTAGCATTCGGCCTGAAGAAGCTGCTGCTACCTCTCATTTTCGGTGTACAGATCATTAAGAGCGTCCTGCTCGCACTTTTCCTGCCAAGTATCATAGGGAGTATCGGTAATATCGTTGGAAAAGGTGAGCACAATTTTCTTCGATCCTTCCGTTCCAACGAATCGGTCGACGAAACGAATGAACGAATTCCTCTTCCCGTTTCAGGTGTCTCCTCGTTCGCGCAATCGTCTCACACCACGGCCCAGCCCGAAGAGAGTTTCGAGTTCAAGGATAACTCCGATCTGTACAACGATGACTACTTGACCAGGCAGCCGGTAGGCACTCTGCCAGCCTCCGCCATGTACGACGAAGGAATGATGCAGCCTCAAAAGGCTCCAGCAGAAATCGCCTCCAGATATTCCTTCACCGATCACAGAATGACGCACGCTAACGCAGTCGCTGATCGTTACTACACCAGGCACGTCGCTGCTAATGGACTTTCTAAAAAGCAAGATTTCAAGGTAAAAGCTACTACTACTACTACTACTATTATTATTACGAGCAGCAGTATACCATATAATCTTCGATTTTCCTCTTTCAAATTCGACGCAACGCCGATATATATTGAATTTTGGATCTAGATTACTTTCAAATATCGCTCCAAAGTGTGATTCTTCCATTTCTTTAACAATTAACACAATTAACAGTTATTCGATCGACTTTCGTCTCAGGTGTTCCACGAGATTCCTACGAGCTCGTTGCTGTTGACCAACTACGATCCCTTCTACTCGCCCCTGCTGTCCCGCCTGGACGCGGTGTTTTCGCGCCTCGGCCACACGAGCGAGGGTTGCAGGGAGTACGCCGTGTGCGCCATGTATCGAAGCCCGGCCAGATACGCGCCCTACTCGAACCTGGTCTCGGCGCAATTGTCCAGGGAGTTGAACGAGCTGAGGAGGCCGAGCAGCGACAATCCGGACGTGCTCAGGTTCTTCCGGTACATGAAGGCGGCCAAGGACGGACAGGATGGGGTCAAGTGCGAGGCAGCCTACTCCAGTTGCGCGATCGCGCGGGACGATCAAAATCTGAGGCAGAATCAGGCGATGCTCGCCACCTATCAGGACATCGACAAACTGGTGCACGCGAGGAAGTTGTAAGATATTCGGATCGACGAGTTATTTCACTCTTACGATCTTACGATCGAACAAATATTTCTCTGCGTTCAATCAAGGATCAAGTGGAGCTCGATTCTCGAGAATGGGACGAGTTTTATTTTCGAAATATGATTCTTTTACAATATCTGCCTCGATAGCCACGACAGTCCATATTCTCATATGCGGGCATTGAAATCTCCGCTCGGTTGTGTTGTTCACAAGGATTATTATTCTGTAGAGAGATTCGAGAAGTCTCGAGCTCGGTGTTTGTCCACGTACTGTACACCATGACGGATCGTTTCGTAGAAGGTGTCGAAGAGACAGTTAAACCGAAGCGATTAAACGAAGAACGTGGATAATTACGTCGATAACGGTACACGAAACGGCTGGAAACGCGTGTATCGTTACTTGCGCAATAGGGGACTCATCGGGGAGTCCGATGAATAATTGCATCTGGATCAGAGACACGCACGATACAAGGCGTGTCTTTGTTCTTCGATCGATTTCGAGTTATCTTTGAATCGCTGACAATTAGTCGAGATAAGAACAAAGTGATTCTTAAAATAATCTTTCTCTCTCTCGACGAATGTAACGTCGATGATTCAAAGGTAACTGGATCATATAGAGTCAACGACGTGGAAAATTATGGTATCTGATGTATACAACGTCACCACGATTTTCCGGCAAAGGGAAACGAGCAATTCGATTTAGCGTAGTTTAATTAATCGGCAAAGTATCACACGGAGTGGAGTTCGAGATCGCGATGAACACCTTTTTCTCTTTTTTTTTTTATTAATTCAATCGTATTCAATTATTAACGCCGGATCCAAACTCCACGAATTTAGTTATTTATTTATTACGGCCAAGGGTGAGACTGTTTGGCTGTTAATTTATTAATATAATATTTCCATCAGGAAAGTCGGAGAGAGTCGGGCCGAGTTCTGGGTCAACCGAAGTCTTTCTTTGTACAGTGCGTCAATAAAATTGTGTGTGAATGCGCTATCGATTTCTTCTTTCTTTTTTTTTTTTTCTTCTTCTTCTTCTTCTTCTTCTTCGTCCACGCGCGCGGCTACGAAACATATCGGCAGTAACTGTATTCATTTAGGTAATTCGTTAATTCGAATTTAATTCGTTTAATTTAATTGTACATTATACAAGGTGTTGATACATTTATTCATAGTTTTGGAGGATAGGAAAGGATAGGATTACAAACGAACGTACTCGTTCCAGAGATTGCAACGGATTTTAGAATTGGATAAGGAAATCTTTGTTTGTAAAACTTTTTCAAAGCTATCTCACGTTGCGTAAAAGACCGACTCTGTTGAAAGAATAAAAATTCTTTTTCTTTTTGCGTTCGAAAATTCGAACACGAACAGGTCGACTATCTACTAGTCGATCACGGTTTAACGAAACGAATATGCTGGAGACGGGAGAGAAAACGAAAGGAGCAGCTCGATGACGCACGCTCGATCGTGGATTACGAAGGAAAGTCCAACGACTTCTTCTCGTCACTCCTCCCTGCTCGCTCGAAACCGAACCGCTTGTTCCGGTCCCACATCCGGGGGACCGCTTTCACTCTCGATTTTTACGTGCTCCCGCTTTTCTGCCCCCGCATCACAATCCTTCCTTCTCCTCTCACTACACGCGGATCTCCTCTCCGTATAAATAAAGAGGAACAGACGCGAGCCGATCGCTCCAAGTCCATCCTCCCCGTTGTATTTTCCTCCATCGAGAAGGTGAGACCATTTCTTTCTCTCTTTTCTTCGACTCGAAACCGATCGATTTTCAAATTTTTATAAGTAAAATAGTGAAAAGAAAGATGGTGAGATTTTTGATAATTCCAAACAGTTATTGTATCGTACCAGTTTAGTATAATAGTGTACCACAACTAATTCCATTTCTCAAACTCGATGATTGATTAAGTCGAGTGAAACATTTCCCAGGCAATTAGAAACGTTACGATTAGAAAAGGATATTATAGTCGCGCGCGATGAATTCGGTTAAGGAGGATGCGTGATCGGCGTAACGAACGCGATGGACGCGCGACCGGAATACAAGGTTACGGACCCGGTTCCTTTGAACCAGGACTCGCGATTGGTCCGCCGAGAATAACGGAACTTGGAGATCCGCCGCGTGGTTAACGATCCAACTTGAACGTCTCCAGACAGACGTTCGACCGCGGTTCGTGAATCACGATCGCCGTGATTCTCTCTCTTTTCTTTTCTTTTCTTCTCTTTCTTTTCCCCCTCCCCCCCCCTTTTTTTTTTTACCCTGGAACGATGTCGTTCGACCCGATCCAGTCGCCACTCGACGTGATTCGGAGAGGAAGATAGATCTTCTCGTTGTTCAAACTCATTTTCCTTCCTCGCTCGAGTCGAAAAAAGGGTGTGCGGCTTCTTTTCTTAACCGGAATGGTGTCCGGCTAAGGGTTTCGTTCGCGAGGATATTTTCGCGAGAGGATGTTGCCGCGAGTGTGTCGATAAAGAAACGTGATTGCAGGATTGTGTACGGCTGAGAAGCATGCGACCGGTGCAATTGTTGGTAACGAAAGGTTGCCTGGTGTTGTTGGCCGTGCTGTTGGCACCGTGTCTGTCGGTCACTTTCGAGGATGGAACTTCCGGTGGACGCGATACCTCCGAGGAGCCACGCGGTGAGTCATTTGAAATTCCAAACTGTAAAATTTTTCGACTCGAAAAATCGAAGGCAACACGCGTGTCGAAGCGGAAGAGAAATTTATTCGCTTGATTCGATTTTTAGAGAATCACGTGCCGGAAGAATCGCGGGGAAATTTCAACAAGACGCGGCAAGGAAAGGGACTTCTCGATTGGATAGGGCTAGGAACAGGACGAGACGCACAGGATCCTTACGTGGCCAAGACGAATCGAGCATGTTTAAACGGCGATCTGGCCGAGTGTTTCAAATCTCAGGCTTTGGCTCACTTCTCCGATTTCTTCGACCAGCCTCGCTACGATATGAACGATCGCGTGAAGGTGGTCAGGATGTCAAATGACATTGTGCAGGAAGTCAATCGTCAACCGTATGAATACTCCAGCGAAGCGAGGTATAGCTTCAAAAAAATATCTACGCATAGTTTCGTTTTATTAGTCGAAGCAAATATTTTAATTTCTCAATTTTTTTCTCAGGTCTACCGACTCTGAGTGGGATCAGTTGATCAAGTTCGCTCTGAGAAAAATTGAAAAGTTCGTGAAAACCGTGGCTATCGAGTTGCACGTGCCTGCCGAAGAAACTGGAGAGAACGAAGTGTACGCGCCACGATTCTTGGATGAAATCGCCGACGAGATCGATACTCTTGAGAACAAAAAGGATACCCTTTTCTGTGAGCAACAAATAACCAGCCTTAAGATTCACGTACAACACGAACGATTCTTTTCAAATCAAAAACAAATACTCTTTTTCTAATAAAATTTCTCCACGTTGAAGTTTTAAGATCGAACTTCGAACGTGGATTTACTGGATCTGTTTCCAATATTACACTTTGTTAATCTCGTTTCTTCTCCCAACAGCTCGTAATCAATTCAAGAGACTTCTCATCCCCATGCTGCTAGTGTTGAAGCTGTTCAAACTCAAGCTACTCTTGTTCCTGCCTCTGATCCTGGGCCTGGCCTCTTTCAAGAAGTTCCTAGGCTTCCTGGCGATCGTGATACCCGGTTTAATCGGCTTCTTCAAACTGTACAAACCGTTCACACAGACTTACCACCCGCCCGTCTACACTCAAAGTGGCATAGCTTACCACCCGTATTACAAGGAAAACAGTTATCCTTACGGGGAGCATCCACACGGCCCCGAATATCCAGCCGGATATCACAGAGACACCTATGGACAGGATCTTGCTTATCGAGGCTACCAGAGGGATTACCAGTCATAAGAGAATTGAATTTCGAAAATTTTTGACCCACGCTCTCTTCTTCGTTTCTTCACCTGATAGTATTATTTGTTTCTGATAATGCAACGGTACAATTTTTATTACATCATTATCATACGTTTGGAATGGAATTTTTTTTTGCAAAAAATTTCATCCTCGACAATTCATGCAAGGAATAACGAGCTCTCTTTTTAGATTATAAATCCATGCCATCCATCGTTGAACGCGATAATCGAATTTTTATCGATACAAGTGATCAGTTATGTCCACTTTTCGTTTATAAATTTATGAATAAGTGTGTGCGTGTGTGTGTATATATGTACGAAAATTATAAGATGTGATAATTTTATTTCGTATACATTTAGATAGGATTTTAAGATTTTAGATTTATTATCGTTTTTCGAATAATTAATACAATTCATAAATTTAATTACTAGCTATGATTCGATTCACGCATTATATAGATATTTATTAATATCACGAAATAAAAGGAATAATAACGGAAATTTTCACAAAATTTAAATAACAATCGATCGCCTTTACTTCTTTGCTTTTCTCGTTATTAATAATTAATCTTACGTGGCATTTCTTACGATAATTAAAATTAATAATTAAGTAGTAAAAAAAGGATTATAACAAAAAAAATATTGCGGAATTAAAAGACATTGTTGTTGTTGTTGTTGTTGTTGTTGTTGTTGTTGTTGTTGTTGTTGTTGTTGTTTCATTGAAATATCTTCCTGAATGGAAAGTTGCTCGAGCGGAGTGTCGTATAAAATTTCAATTAATATCGCATTACCTGTTTTCGTGTTTCTCCGCATTCCTTCCACCACGTTCACGTTTTCTCAACCCATGCAAAGCCGTCAAAAAATGGGGACGAAAAGAAGGACCATCGCACACTCGTGCGTATCTTTATATATTTTATATAGATGTGTCGTATACGCTGACAAAACATTATCCCAACAATGTAAACATTAATTTAAAAATACGTTAATCTTTGTACTTTCCTTCCTTCTGAGATATTTCTGAGCTACTTTTAATTCTAAAATTCCTACAACAACTTCGATACTCGCGAGAGACAAGTCTTGTATCTTGACCCTCTGCCTAACAATGAAAATTTATCGTTCGCAAATTTCAAGATTAGATTAGATCGAAAGACAAATTAAAAGCTTTGTTTTTCGCAAAATTTCTATATTCGAAATCTTTTGTAAAAGATATAGTGTAAAGATTTTAACTTTTCGCAAAATAACGTGTCATTATATATTGACCGTTTCCATTTTCTCGCCACCCTTCAAACCCCATTTTCTCTCGTCAAACATTTCCACTCGTGCAAACACGGGAAAACCAGTCGTCCTCCAAATAATAGCCTCGATCGAACAACGAGCAGCACTTCACATTCTTTCGCTCCTCTCCTCTTTCTTCTTCTTCTTCTTCTTCTTTTTTCGTCGTCGTGAAACGATAAGCGTGGTTCGAAGTCGCGTGAAAATCTTCTCTCTGTCTCTCTTTCTCTCTCGTGGTGAGAAAAGACGGAACGAGAGTGCACGAGGCAACCGGTTCGACGCGATTCTCACTCGCGATCCAGAGAATCGGATGGAGCGGACCTGTTGACCAAGTGGCCTCGTTCGAGCACACACAGAGAAGACCGGAAGCGGCCGATACACGGAAAACACGGAAAGTCTCGTACAAAAACAATCGATTTTGCGAACCAGTTTTTACGTATCATCCAGTCTCACAATGGAATCGTGCGTTTTTTATCGTGCGCGTGTGTCCGCCACGATCTCTCGATCTTTCTCGAGATCGGAAGGATTGGAATTGATCGAGTCTGGATTTAAGAGAGCCGGATTCCATGGATCGAATTCTTAAAGTATCGATTGTTCATTCATTGTTCATCACGAGCGACACTAAGATTAAGATTCCTTCGTAAAATTTGCCTCCTTCTTCCCCTTCTTGCCTCGAGCTTGAATAGAGCTGGAACGGAACGTGCTCTATAATTCCATTGAATTGTATTCAAAGGAAAAGAAATTTCTAAAACAGGACGTAAACTCGTTCCACCATCTTTTTTCTTCTTTCGTCCAACACACGTCTTCTTTGATCCACAATCGCGATCTGAACGGCCGGAAACGCTAAATGATTTCACTTTTAAATGGCCTGCCATTGATAATCAATCGTGTCTTCCCATCTCCGTTAACAAATTTAAAAATTAATAACAATTCGTCCAATTTCGTCCACGATGCACACGAAGGGAAACGAAATTTCCCGCGTGCGTGTGTCGACCATATCGCCGAACCACGAATGGTGGAATCGCGCGAGGAGAGAGAGAGAGAGAGAGAGAGAGAGAGAGAGAGAGAGAGAGAGAGAGAGAGAGAGAGAGAGAGAGAGAGAGAGAGAGAGAGAGAGAGAGAGAGAGAGAGAGAGAGAGAGAGAGAGAGAGAGAGAGAGAGAGAGA